AGCAGACCTTGACTTTTCACCTACACAGCTGGTTGCTGTGACAGCGTTCCAAGCCGCCATTTGGCCAAACGAGTTTTTGAACTAAATCAAAGCAAATTAAAGCAAGCAAGGCGTGCAAAGCAAGCCTACATTGGTAGGGCTGCCAGACGTCCCGGTTTTCCCGGACATGTCCCGGTTTTAGACTATTTGTCCCGGTGTCCCGGTCCAACCTTAAAATGTCCCGGGTTTCGTTTTAGTGTCCCGGTTTTTGATTTGATTGCATAAATTTTAATAAAAGTTCAAAAAACACTACAATAAGAGAAAAAACGCGTTGTAATATTCAGAAAAATGTTATGAATTCACCGAGGGAAATAACGCATAGTAAACAGGAATATTTTCTATTTGATTATTGTTTAAAAATGTTCGTATATAAAAATAATACTTTCATAACACGCACGCGTGGTGTTGATTCAAACTCAACATTTAAATGCACATTTACATGTCTGGCTGTAGCTGAGGGCGGGAAGATGCTTGCCACAATTTGCTAATTTCCAGAGGGTCAAGGTTCAATTCCCATTACAACCAGCATGGAATTTAATTATTTTTTTAACTTAATTATGAAAAAGCAATCGGTAATTGCAAATCGCTTCAATTTAATATGGGCGTATTTGAATTAAATATTTCTATACTAAATACTAAAATTTGTATACTTAAATGTATTACGAGTTGAGTTGGTGCTCTTTCGTATGCGTATTTTTTTAATTTAGCACGCTTTTTTAATTCTAAACTTCTTTCTCTCAGTGCACCGGTTTAATTTGTGAAATAGTTACATTTCGAGATAGTTGAACTTTGCACAAGCAATAGTTGATGATTAGTATATGTACCTAAATACGTTCAAAATGACGTGCACAGAGTTTTACAATTATATTAAGGAAAAGACAGAAGTTTTGAAACAAGTTCACAGCAACGAAAAATATTATTGATATTTTAATGTTATCTTGTACTTAAATTTTTTTCTTTCATGAAACCTAGACTTATAAGTACGTACAGTGCCGTACAAAATTATTGGCTCGGAGGCTCTTTCATCAGATCACAATTTCTAATCAGATCTTTTAGAACAATTTTGAAAATGTAGATTTTGAGCCAATTAATAAAGTGCAAGTCTGAAGTTGCCAGCAAATTTCGTTGATTTTTAGCCTTTGTTTATTTTTTTGCTGACAGTGTCTTCCATATAAAAAGAATTATCGAACATAGTTTGTATGGAAGAAACTCTCAGTAAAAACAATACCAAAAATCAACTAAAATTTAATGGGCTGGAAAACTTCCTTTAAAAAATTTGTATAAAAAGTTTGATTAGAACGTTGCAAATTTGTACGCAAATTTATTGAATTTTCCCGAGTTTAGCACAAAGTTTAAGAGGCCCTCCCTAAAGTGTCCCGGTTTGGCAACAGAGATATCTGGCAGCCCTATACATTGGGCCAGCGCCTTAATTCACGAATTCATGTCATGAATTTGGGTTAAAATTGGCTGCATAAACACCATTTCATGAATTCAGTTATACACTAAAGTTAACCATGAATTCGGCATCATTTCATGAAATCGTGAAGTGCAAGTCCGACAACGCCACGTTTCACAAACAGCTGTTTACTAGGGTTATGATGTTTTTAGATTAATAACCATGAGTGGCATAACCAGGATTTTAAACACTGGAAAAGTTATGTGAAATTGTTCAAATATAAAATAAATTCAAATAGAATAAACTGAAAATATATTAAAACCAATTTAAATAAAATATGGTTTATTGCCTGGTACCAACGGCTTTTGCAAATTCAAAAGGCGGCCAAAAAATTACAACCCTACTGTTTAGTTTCTCGCCAGTGCGTTGCCACTTTTTCAAAGCACTTTATTTTATGAATACCCTGCAAAAATCGCGACTACTCCATGCATGCGTGAAAAGAGTACTCCCTAAGGACCAAGGAATACTCCAAAATTAACCACAATTAATATAAAAAATATGGTCCAATTAACATTGTGATGTCCTAGGGCAGGACCATATACTCCATCCCTGCATTACATCAGAGTAACACAAAACTACTCCAACATATTAACAATGGCATTGTTGTTATATTTTTTCCTTTGTACACGCTTTTGTTCTTCACTTCTCAAATGCTTTTTCGAAATTAATAAAAACCAAGACAAAAATTAAAAATTACATGTTGCCTCTGACGGCATTCGAACCCGAACATGCTGGGAGCTAAGAACTAACAGCGGGCATCTCTACACGTTCAGCTACAGCCAGACATGCAAATGTGCTTTCAAATGCTCAACTTCAATCACCTTTCGTTAAAACACGAGCAGTTATCGGGTAACAAACAATAAGCTGGCGCAGAGACACGAGTTGGTCCGCTACAGCATGACAGAGGAAACTTTTGTAAGTACTCCAGTTTACCACAAATAGACTACATGGTCCAACGATTTTTGCAGGGTACGCGAACTATGCATAAATGGGACCATTTTTGAATGCATGAAATGAAGAATTCATGAATTCTGTCGCATAAACGTAGTAAGAATCAGCTTAGACTGGGTTTACACAGCGAACATTTTTTTGGTTATTTACACAATTGTTATTTTCAGCTGTAAACTGCCAACTTGAATTTCTCAGACGAACGAGAGTACAAAGCGTGTTGCCCAAGCACGATCGACTCGGTACCCTTACCCCAGTGTTGCCACAAAAAATTACCAAATTTCTCAAAAACAAATGAAAAATCGTCAAAACTACTCAAAGTTTTCTTATTACAGATATGAGTATTGTTTACTACATACTATTTACAGGTACTTAGTACAAAAATTAACTACGTTCTCCAATTCAATTGGTACATTTGTTCTTGTGGCTCAAACAAGGTATCACCGTTATTTTTTATGCCTTGCTTTGTATATAATATTGCTGCAACTATACCAGTGCTCAATCTCAAGTCAGTCCTACACATTTTTAAACTACTAAATATACGTTCTACTGAGGCATTAGAAAAGGGCTATGTTAGCATTGCAGATATATATTTTTTTTCAATTGGGAAACTTGTATGAACCTGAAGAATCTTTTGATTCAAAAACTTTTTTCCTATACTTTTCTGAATCTAATGAAGAATCAATATGAATATTCTTATGATCGAACCTTGCGTGTTCTCTCCATTCGTTAACGAGATTTTGCAAGTTCAAAATAAGTTGAAAATATAACGATAGAATGAAAATAAAAATTGTCGATAACATTTTGAATATTTAGCAGCAAATGCAAATGTGCTTAAGAGCGAAAAACACCACGCAAGCGGCTTGACAAACCAAGCGAAATATCCCTTTGCTTAAAGCTATTTTTGTTGTGTATGGGGGTGTTTGAAGGTTTGACAAGCCGTTTGAAGGAAATGTGAAACAAAATCAAAATTTTTTAATTTTCCGGCCGCCATGTTGACGTTTCGTAAAATCGCCTCATTCGCAACGGAATTTTCACTACGGAAAGCTTTTTGCTCAAAAATTTGCAGAGCGATTTAACAACTCTGTTGCATTTGTTATCTGCAAATATATCGAGAGAAAATTCCTCAAAATTAAAATCCCCAAAAAATACTAAAGCGCACCCGAAATTGCTCACGTTTTGAGGAATTACTCAAAAAGTGGTCACACTGACATACTTACATACATATGTACATAAGAATTTGTTATATTTACATATTAGATTTTTCTTACAGGGTATGTGTTTATTGTACATATGCATTTATGTATGCACATATAGGTACATACACAACTATATATGGATATGTATATCCATGTGAAAATTTTCACCATCAAATCCCGCCACTGAGTCTCATTTCTCACCATCTCGCGGCCGTCCGTCTCCTCCCGAACATCGCAAGCAAGCAGCTTGTGGCATGGAAGCAAGAACCGGTACTAACCAGCGTTACCGCTTTGGATTTGTACCAAAACTGGTAATTTTTTCTTTTTAGAATGAATTTGGTAGTTTGGCAATTTTTTTCAGTTTGGTAATTTTTTTCACTGTACGCCTTTTCTTTTAAGTTTTTGAAACTAATTTATTACCTATAAAAATTTGCTTATGTGAATATGTAAGTGTCTGCCAAAAATCGAAAGGCCCTCTCACGTAACAATTTGCCTTGACAACACAGAACTTTTAGTATGAGTGTGTAATATAGCAATTTAAAGAAACCCCCATTTTTCCTAATATGGCGGCTCGATCACAACCCCTACAGTCCCACAAATCTGGTTTTTGGGGGATTTTTACCTGCTGAAACCAATGGTGAAAACAAATTTCTTACAAGACTAATTGCAATTTTGCAATAAAATACGAATGTGGTCAACTCATAAAACTGTAAAATTAAATTATATCTATCGTTTAAAGACACATTTGTTGGTTTCATGATTTAATTAATGTTTTTGTTTTAGGTTATGTTAAATATTTTATTTAAAATGCTGTACGTTAAAACCTTTTAAATGTTTGTAAATCTCTGAGCGCTTTTATTGTATTATGTTTTAAAATATTTGTGAATTGTTATAGTCCCAACACATTGAAAACGACGACCACAGCTGTAAATTGTTCGTCTTCAATATCTAAATGCTCTGTCGATGGTAATATGATTTTTTTTTAACGCGACAGCGACATCATGAATTTGTATGAGTTTTTCATAAAAGAAGAGGAAGAACTGTATCTGTAAGCTGGTCAGAACCACAGTCGTGGTATAGCTCTGTCGTCGCCAAAATAATTTGCTACACAAGAAATCGTGAAATATTTTTCTGAGGTCCACAGCTCATCGTTTTCAATGTGATTAGAATATTATGTCATACAAATTTGGTAATTTTTTTTTCTGAGTTTGGTAGTTTTCGAGTTTTAGCAAAAAAAATAAAAATCTTGGTGGCAACACTGGTGCTCACTGAGTGAAATTCGCGGTGATATCGTCGTCTCTACCATCGTATCCACCGTTTGGCAATTTGGTTCAATTCACTCGTCTGATTTTGGTCTCGCTCAGTCAGTCAGTCGTGCGCCGTTCACCTCGGGACTTGTGATTTGCTAGTCGGTAGATCAAAACTGAAATAAAAGTATTCGCTGTCTTTCATATATTCCTACCTACCCTGAGAGCACACCGCATACATAGAAGTGCATATCCGCATACAGATTTTTTCAATCGCAAATTTTTTTAGCAAACACAAATTTCAAGTTTTTCTGTGGAAAACAGCTTTTTATTAATTAACCGAAACAAATTTTCTTCGCATATTTTCGACCCCGCAACATCTCAGTGTTTAATTAGTGATGAGTGCAAAACAAATTGATTCTGTTTTTTTTTTACACAATTAGCGAAAAAATTTGTCGGGTAAAAAAACGGAAAAAGTGCCGATTTAACAAAACTTTTTTATTCGGTATATATTTCTTAAACTGCCTATGCACTTTAAACATAAAATATTTAATAAAGGAAAACATGAAAAATGTTTAAGCAAAGCTGGTTTTGGTGATTTCTATATATAGCAGAACAAAATGAGAGAGCGAAATTAAAGGACATGCAAAAAAGTTATATAACTTAGAGCAAGTGGCATAGGTAGCAGGCCTATTATATTATATGTATGTATGTATTTACATATCCATGGTCCTCTGGAATAACGACACAACTCAAAAAAATAAACAGTTACTGCTGAACGGTGACACATGTCGCCAAATCTTGTCTAATCCTTACTTAATCGGCATGAGTGCAGTATTATGGCATGTGGCACTGTTCAGTAGTTTTTAGTTTTAATTTGTGTCGTTGTTGCTGACGTCCATCGGCATGTTCATACACATGTGTTTACATAGCTGGTCATAAGACATTCATATTTACATGCATACACACATATACACATGTACATATCTACATGTTTGTATATCTGTATGTATTGTTACTTGGTTTACGTTGAGCCGAATCAAGTCAGAAATATGCTATCCATTGATTGCATTTGTATACACCTAGTATCAGTGGCGTAGCCGTAGTTATATATGTAGTTTAATAACACAATGCCATTTTATCCTCCTGACTTGTCATTTTTATACCTGGGCACACTTCTGCACAAGGGTATTATAACTTCGTTCTCATAACGAATCGAGATAGATATAGACCAGAGGTTACCAAACTTTTTTCCCCGTAGACCCCTTTCAAAACCTTACTGGTTTCGGTGGACCCCAGCTGCTACATTTCTAACATATTCCCAAAGCTCATCAAAAATTTGAAGACTAGATCTAACGATGTAAATTTGCATCGCGGGTGAGTTCCAAAACTAAATTCGAAGGGGCAAAAATTAAAATTAAATATTTTCTCATGTTCTCTTTATTAAAACAATGCAATTACACACTTGCAAGTTTAAAAAAACAGAGCTCGTAAAGCGATCAAAGTGCTCTCTCGCTCTGAGGAGTTATATTTTTTTAAGCGAACTTCGAGCGCTAGCGTTATTTACATTCTCTTTAGCAAAACCTCCCTCCTCACATGTTTGGCTCACTCATGAATTTGCATGTGGCGTATTGGTAAAATAGTTTATTTGTGTTGATGGCATCATTTTTATTTTTATCACTCCGAGTTTTAAAGTGATGAGAATGCCTGGTTTGAGTCAGTTCTGGCCAAATGGTTAGATGTCTCATTATCAACTCCCGAGTGACCAGAGTAAAGCAAGCAACATAAGTTGAGACTTGCATTGCTGAACTAGTTAGGAAGTATATAGATAGAGGGCTGGCCAATGCCTTAAGTGCAGCCTGGCTGTCACTTCAGGTATGCAAACTCCTTTCTCTCTACCTATTTTCTACCACGTAGGTCATGGCTTTGAGGATTGCAAATACCTCAGCCTGGAAGCCTGGGGTACATTCCCCAAGATACAAGTGAAGCTTATCTCCATTAACTTCGAAAAAGACCTCACGTCCCGACCAAGAGTCAGTTGAGGAGCCATCAGTGAAGACTCGACAATGTATGAGTCCGGGCAAAGTGCTGGAATTAAACCGGCATTCAGCTTCAGGGAACTCAACATTATAGAACCTCTTCAACAAAGGTAATGGTGGCGTAATATCCTATAGCATTGAAAATACACAAGTGCTCAAATCTCTGCCGCCAGCATTTTTCGCCTCGCCCCACTCAGTGTTATAAGAATATCCGTTTCTTTCTAGTCTGAATGTTACCTTTAAGGTTTCTCTACGCATGAAGACATAAAGCGACGGTAAGTGCAGCAGTGCGTCAAGAGCACTACACACCACTCAAAAAAATTAAAGTTAAATAAAGAACATATCAAGCAACCATTTTGATTCTTTACTATCGATAAATGGTATAAGTTAAGAATCCGAACATTGCAAAAAATAAAAAATAGGTATGAGTGTTGATAGAGGTTTTTGAGACAAATACAACAGTATACTTTTTTTGAGGCAGAAACAACAACAACTAAGGCAGTTATAAAAGGTCAAAAGTAAAATGGAGCGTTTTTCTAAATCCAGATATCTTGAAAAGCATCTCACGGATTCTAAAAATTTTGATGTCATTAAATAGGAAATGTGAGTCGCTTTAATTACATATGTAAACGTTATATATAACTTCTTATGTTTTAGCAAAAATCCAATTTATGTAAAAAAAAATAAAAAAAATTTTAAACAAACACATTTTTCTTTAATAAGTACCGCATTAATTACAGTTAAAAGTCTTATTAATAAATAGTCCACAAATCAAGCTTTCGTTTGATATACAAAATGTTGTGTTTAATCCTCGCAAATCGGAGTATTTCAAAAAATAACTCTGGTCGGACCAATGCCAGCTACGCTATCCACAGTATTTTTGCGCAAAACCTTTTTCTTAGTAAGGGTTATAATCCCTAAGCTCGGCCGCTGGCCGCCAACACAGAAGGTGTTCTGTGCAAAAGTTGTTGCGCCCCTCTTCTTCGGCAACACAGAAAGGAGAATTCTGTTTAGTAAGGGTTATAATCCCTAAGCGCGCCCGAAGTCCGCCAACTCAGAAGGTGTTCTGTGCAAAAAGGTTTTGCCCCCCTCTTCTCCAGCAACACAGAAAGGAGAATTCTGCTTAGTAAGGGTTATAATACCTAAGCGCGGCCGAAGGCCGCCAACGCAGAAGGTGTTGCGCCCCTCTTCTTCGGCAACACAGAAAGGAGAATTCTGCTTAGTAAGGGTTATAATCCGTCTGCGCGGCCGAAGGCCGCCAACGCAGAAGGTGTTCTGTGAAAAAATGGTGTTGTGCCCCTCTTCTTCGGCAACACGGAAAGGAGAATACTACTTAGTAAGGGTTATAATCCGTAAAGCTGATGCCACATAAAACTTTTGCTTCGCTTTACGTGACAGATTGGCTTTGACAGATAAGATGAATTGTATGAAAATGCACAAAGCATGCCACATAAATCGTTGAAGCTGCAGCGCGAAGCGAAAAGATGGCCACCTCCCATCTTTTTGCGCGCTTTGACAATCAGCCGGTTTAATATTTATGGGTCGATTACGGATAGCAGCACAACAACGGTTCGGTTGCCAGCTGACAACACAACTGGAAAAAAATTTGTATTACGAATGCCAACTATCGTCAGTTGCTGTACAGTTATCGATAATCGAAATTTGACAGTTCGATAACCAGCAAGCGGCTGTAAACAAGCTGTGCGAGTAAAATTAAATTATTAAAATTAAGAAATTTAAAGATAACACAGCAATAAAGTTAAATTAATCACAATAATTTGTTTAAGAGGAAGGGAAGTGCATGAACGCGGCCTCAATCAGGCGACTTTTAAAGGATAATTCCAATCCCCTATAGCTACCGTGGGCACTGTAAGAAAAAGTTAATGCTTTCAAGGTTTTTCTTTTATTATCGTTTTGTGTTCATTTTAAAAGCATATTGAGGACTTCCAAAAGAAGCTGTAGTATAATTGGTTAATAAACGGATGAACCACTTCGTTCCACTTCAATACCTACGCTCATAAAAGCTTGCGCACCTCTTCGATTTTTCGCAGAAGGAAGTGCCACAGCAATGACTTCAATTTGGAAAACTTGGTATGTCGGTAGTTTTAAAAGAGGTGCTTCAGTTGGTAAAGGAAAAAATTTGCAATCAGTGTTCGCTTTTTTTTCGCCAAAAGGGTGTACTCCACGGGAACTAAAATTTCAAGTTATTGTTTTGTTATTTTCACCATGTTCTGTAAAAGCAAACTGCATTGCAAAATGTTAATATCATTCAAATTATTAAAAAGTAAAATATATGACACCCTCCAAAACATTCCCAGCAACCACAAAAACGAAGTCGCCTGTATACACACTTTGTAGCAACTGCAGTTGTCAGTTGAAAGTTGCCAGTTGCCATCTGTAATATCGTTTTGGCAACTAGCAACGCAACTGAAGTTCGATTGCTATCGATAATCGACCCATTATTTTGTTTTGTCCAAATTCGATTTTTCATGCAGAAACATAAAACTTAATTACATTGCTGATAATTTTAATGCAAAATATATAAAATCCACAGCAACTTTGCCGAGTAAAAAAGCGGTACAAAATTGTTTTCTTGGCGTTCATTGTGGCATACCTTTTGCGTCTGGCGCTTTGCTGGCAAAGTTATAAATGTCACGCAAAGCTACAAAGTTTTATCTGGCATCAGCTTAAGCGCGGCCGAAGGCCGCCTATCCAGAAAAAGGTTTTGCGCAAAATACTGTGGATAGCGTAGCTGGCATTGGTCTGACCAGGGTTATTTTTTGAAATACTCCGATTTGCGAGGATTAAACACAACCTGTTGTATATCAAACGAAAGCTTGAGTTGTGCTATTTATATATATGTAATTAAATCCACTTACATTTCCTATTTAATGACATCAAAATTTTTAGAATCCGTGCGATGGTTTTCGAGATATATGGATTTGAAAAAAGCGCTACATTTGACCTTTGACCTTTCGTAACTACCTTAGTTGTTGTTTCTGCCTCAAAAACCGTTATATTTGTCTCAAAAACCCCCATCGAACTCAATTTTTTTACAACGCTTTTATCAACTTGCAATGTTGTGTGTCCAGAAACTTTCAATGTTGTGGATCCAGAAACTTTCAATGTTGTGTGTCCGACACCATAAAACCTTTGCTTTGAAAAGTTCCGCATAGTGCATAGGGCGACATCTGTAGCGAATAGGG